CGAACCCCAGCCCTCCGTGACAGTTTTTCGTTTCGCGCAGCGACAGCGGGACGACCCCCCATTCTCCCGTCACAGCTGAGCAAGTTTCTGTCCGAGACCTCCAATGTGCGCAGCAACCGTCGGGGCGTGGCCGTGTGCAGCGTGGCGCCCACCAACCTGCCCCCGCCGTCGCCCTGCCGACGCCTCAGCCGGCACAGCCCCGCTCACAAGGTGTCCTGGGACGGCGGGGCCAGCCACGCGCCGGCGGAAGTGAGGCGGCGTGACGAACGCGAAGACGAGTGGAGTCTGAGAGCCTTTGAGATGGAGAGGACGGACGCCAGCGAAGGTCAGACTGCACACGGCGAAGTGTCAAGCCAGTGGCAGTGTTTCAAACTAAGGTTTTCAGCCGGAGTTCAGGTTTCAAAGTAGAGCGTCATGTCTGCGTGAGGGTTTCAAATTAGGATTTCAAGCCCATTTCAAAAGTAAGGCCTGAGTTTGGGTTTCAAGCAAGCGTTAGCGCTTTAACGTCGAATTTCATACAGGGTTCGTGTCATAACCTGGGTTTCAGCAAAGTAGGGTTTCAAGCCTGGTTTCGGTTTCAAAATAAGTGCCTTAAACCAGGGTTAATGTTTCACATGAGGGTAAGTTCTCCAAATTAGCGTTTCAAGCCGTGGTTCAGGTTTCAAATTATATTTTCAAGCCTATTAGGTTCGGGTTTCAAAGTTTCGGCTTTCAAGGAAACCTGCACTGGGGCCACTTTGGTTTGCATGGTTGCCACGGAGACGGATGACTTCCCGCTGACCTCGATACACGTTTTCATTGTCAATTCAAATGAACATACATGAATAATAAATGTTGGAGTTTCTGCTTTGTGCTACTTTGGACCAAAGTGCTCGAGTTGGAGAAATACCAAAAGACGGTAACGGAGCCGTACCACCCTAACCCAGGTTTGAAACCTGAACCCAGGCTTGAAGCCCAACTTTGAAAACTTAATCGATAGGGGTGCTATGCTGCCGATTTTGAGACCAACCATCCATGAGTAAGATATGCCGATACCGATTCGGATCCCGACTAGCGTCCACATTTTAGAGTTGCTCACTAGCGATTATTTGATTAATCGATGAATCTGCCAATTGCTTTTTTCAATGAATTCATCAGATCTTTATTTAAAACGGCTACTTCTAATCCCACAGGGTTTGTTTCCAATGCCAGAAGTGAATCTTAAGCATTTGTTTTTGTTATCGACCTCTTCCTGCTGGTCATCATCGATTTCCTCAGGATCAGGAGGATGTCCTCATCGGGGTGCTGTGCCCCCGACTGCCATTGAGGGAAAGCGTCTAATTAGCGCCCGATTAAAGCGGCTGAAAGCCTTCGTTAGCCACTGCACTTTATTAGCGCTGAGCTCAGCGACAGCCGGCTCACGTATCATCGCCCGCTCATAAACGGCCGAGGCGAGCGTGCCGATTGGTCGTTTACGCAGCCTGCTGAATAATTAACTATTAGCATATGATGAATAATTTAGTAGCGGCAACACGGAGCACATATGAGCACTCATATTCATTTTTTTTTTTCAACCCACACTCTGAGCCCGAACACGACCAGGAACCCTCATTTGAAACTTGACCAGACTTGAAAGCCTAACACAGGCTTAAAATCCTAACCCTTGTCTGAGACACTCAAGAAACTAAACTAACTAGACACGCTAACTTAAGACATTAAACGCTACCTCAGGGACTAAAACCCTAATTTGAAACCTAAACACACGCTTGAAACCATCATTTGGAAACCTAAGCCCGTTTTTGAACCTGTAGTATTTGTGCGTGTCCGTGCGTGCGTGTTTGTATGAGTGAGTGCGTTATTGAAGTATCCGGCGTGAATTCACAAGCTGCCCAGTGGCTGCTCTTACGTTGATTGACAGCCTGCCTGAGCCCCTTGGAGTGTGGAGTTGATTGGTGTGTGTGTGGGGTGGGGGGGGCTGCTTTCTCGCTCACACACACACACACACACACACACACACACACACACACACACACACACACACACACACACGGTCCAAAGGCCTTAGAGCGTAGCGGGTTGTTGTGGAGACCAAAGGCTCCATTTGAGATGCTTCTCAAGCAGAGTCAAATTTACATGCCGATGTTGGCTAATTGTGCAACGTGTGTGTGTGTGTGTGTGTGTGTGTGTGTGTGTGTGTGTGTGTGTGTGTGTGTGTGCGCGCGCCCAGGTAAGCGGTCATCGCCTGTGCAGAGCGCCGCGATTGGCCTTTCGTCAGACTCTACCCCGGAGGAGCTCAGCTCATATACGTCGGAGTCCTTCGATGACAACGGTACGTCAACGACATCGCACCACACGAGCGCACCAACACCAAGATGATACGTTACTGAAGATGACAGCGCACCTCGGATTGGGCTAAGGCTTCGAAGTAAGGTTTTTAGACAGGGTTTGGGACTTCATAGTCGGGTTTCAAGTAAGGGTCACGGTTTCAAGGCTGGGTTATGGTATGGGTTTCAAAACGGGAGTATGGTTTTGGAAAAGGGTTTCCAGCCAAGATTAGGGTTTCGAAATAGGGTTTTTAAACAAGAGTTAGGATTTCAACTTTGAAGGCAACTTTTAGGTTTCAAATTAAGAGTTTCAAGCCTGCGTTAGTTTCACACACGGATATAAAAAGGGAGTTTGAAATCAATGGATTTTTTTATTTTTGCTGTAATTAGTTACAACAAAAAAATACTGGTGGAGTTAACATCACCACCACCACTGATTGACAACGGCGGCGCTTCATTAAGCGACATGAAGTCATTCAGGAGATGACAACAAGGTGAAGAAGTCCCCCCCCCCCCACACACACACACACACACACCACCCAATGCCCAGAGCGTGCGATAGCATTGATCGTCCCTCTGCTACCAGGAAGGTGCGCTGCTAACACGCTAGCCACGTGTCTGCTTGCGTCCTCTCTAATTACTGTCGCCCATCTGACACCCTAAAGAGAACACAAGCGCGCGCACATCGACGTGCAAACCTAATCCTACGCGCTACGTTAACCTATTCAAGTCAACTGTCGTTGTCGTGACATCGTGCGTGCGTGCGTGCGTGCGTGCGTGCGTGCGTGCGTGCGTGCGTGCGTGCGTGCGTGTGTGTGTGTGTGTGTGTCTTTTATCGCACGCAGCCTCCATCGTCACAGTCATTCGTCTGGTCAATGACACGGTGGACCACATTGAAAGTGAAGGTAGGAAAACTCCTGTTATTAGATGCATGCGCATATATAATGTATATATATTTTTTTGCCGTTCTTTCAATGTTCTTATTTGTTTGCAGTTACCAACCTGGACAAGGAGCAGTGGCAGCACAGTCCCAGTAAGTGTCACATTCAAACATACTGTTGTATGTATCCTGGCTTGATTGCGACTCTTCATGTCGATGGGTTGCGTGAAGGTAGGTGGCTTTGCACGTAGGTGCGCCAATATGAAGTTTGGGCGGGTGGGCTTGAGCGGTTCAAAGGTCGATCGCTGGCTATGTAGGTAGAAGTACTCAACTTGACAATGCTGTCCGGGGCATTCTGGGAGACCCTCAACACGCAAACCATTTCATTTCATCAATCGATGGATTGGTACCAAGGTGGTCCCGAGCGGCTGCTCACAAATGCGACAACACGTCTTAGCGACAGCGTGACAGTCAACCGCTGGAATTCTCCCGTCAGGTTCAGGAAGTCGTGCGGTGGCCCAAGCTGAGACGTTTGCTTATTGACTTTTATGTCTTGTTCCCTAGCAACCGATGCCAGTTCTCCTCATAGCACATAGCGCCGAGCGTTTTTTTTTTTTTCTTTTTTCTTTTTAACCGTGCCGGTGCAAACAAAAGAGAGAAAGAGACTCCGAGGGCGTTCAACTTCAAAGATGACAGAGAAACAAGTCTTGACTTGTCACAAGGCATCGTTTATCATAATCATCGTCACGAGCATGTATCCAGGCCATAATCATCATCAACAATACCAAACTTCATCCTCATCATACTCGTTCATTACGATGGTGACTTAGCGCGTGGGGAAATGTGACCAAATGGTCGATTGTTGTTCTCGCGGGGATGATCTTTGACTGCGACCGTGACAATTGCTTTCAGCACAGGAGTAGCAAGTGTCATGAGCTTGAAACTTCGCAGCGCCAATGGCGAATATCTTTCCACAGAGGCAACGTAGCGCCTCTTTCACAACGCTGATCCGACCCCCACAACCAAGGCATTTTCAGGCTCAGTTCTTCACCCCACCCGCCCACCAAACACCCCCCCCCTCCCCCATTTCATGATACTCCTGTTCACGGAACGACACCGGAAAAAGACCTGAAAGGGTGCGTTCCTGTCCCTGCAGCCTACCACTGGGACTCTTCCAGGCAGAGCTCCGGCTGGTTCTCGCCCTCCCGCCTGCGTCCACCTGAGGTGGGGTCCCACTACGACCTGAGCGACGCCCAGCAGAACATTCGGCGGGGCGGCAGCACCCGCTCCCTGCAGCTGGACTACCCGATCCAAGTGCCAAGCGGTGACAGAGGCCGGGAGTCATTGTCGGAGGCAAGACGGAGGGCCTTCCAGTGGGAGAAGAACCAGTCGGGCGAGTGGCAGAGGACAAGATGGCCGGGCGGGCAAGGGCGGCAACAGAGCAGCGAGGAATCACCCGTTTACGAGGAGTACCGGGAGCCCCGGCGAGACTCTGATCCCAGTGAGGAGACCGAGGCTCTCTACGACACCCTGCCCCCGACCCGGGAAGCCTATGACGGCTACCCGTCCAGCCCACCGGGCCTCAGTTTACACCCGGCCCAGCTCCTGCCCCCCTTGCGGGCCTGGGCCTCGGGGAGTCGGGAGGGCGGCGGCGGAAATCTTGGCTCTGCTGCCATAACCGGTTCCGGGGATGAGCTTGAGAGACTGTTGAACCTGGTGTCACTCCGAGCCAGGAGGGCCACGAGGACCAACAGAACCTCCACTGGGTCAGAACCTGCGGCGGGGGGGGGCGGATTCAAATGACCCGCCAGACTCTTGGCACGGACGATACGCGGTGGCCCGGGGGGAAAAAAAAAAATAGACATCAGCCTCCCTCGTCTTGTCAGTGGCGCTCGTTTTTCCGGGTAAAGGAGTGTTTAACCGCATGCGGCACGCCGCTTCAGAGATGTTATTAAGATTAACGCCGTCTTTGTTTAATCATTTCATTACTCGCCAGTTATTTATTTCACGAGGAGGTCGTTTGGCGGCCGAGCAGCACGAGCATCAAAGCGAAAGATAATTAAAAGTAAGACACTTTTAAGACTGCGCACGCGCGCACACACAAACGCGCCGCCGTCTATTCCAGGCCGTGTTTTATCACTGTGAATAAATTGTGTACACCGTACGCAACTCATGGTTGTCAGTTGCACTGCACTACACCTCGCGCGAGACCTCTGCCAAGGCTCGACCATCCAAAGTGCTTCCACTTTTTACAAGCCTAGACGGCAAATGGAAGCGTAGTATTTGCACTTGATTACTTTTCCCCCGTTGGTCGGTGGTGATACTGGATGAAGCTTGCAAAGGGAAAGAGGAGGATGGTTGCTCTCTGTCACACCATGATTCCACACACACACACACACACACACAAAACGGCGCAGCCTAATCTGCTTGGCCGACATCTGCCTGGCCAGGCACACACGCGCATGCACAGCTGGAACGGACACAAACATCATCTCACGCAACTGCCACTCATGTATTATTCAGCAATGCTTTAATTTCAACAGCGTAATCAGCTGCAGTGAGGCATGGTGTGCGTGTGCGTGTGTGTGTGTGTACTGTATGTGCGTGTATGTGGCTGGCTGTCTGTCTAGCAGATGATTAGCGGGACAATCCTTTGACATATGCCAGGAACGCTACTGCTGCTGCCTGTTTTATTGCGAGCGTGCTCAGCAAACGGCATTGTGCACTACCCGAATATCCAATGATATATATATATACACACACACGTATATGTGTGTGTATGTATTCATATATACACGTGTGTGTATATATATATATATATATATATATAGCCGCACGCGCGCACATACACACACACACACACATATATATATATATATACACACACACACACACACATTTTTTTTTCACAAGCATACAACTTACGGCTTTTCATTAACCGTGGCTTGGCCAATTTCTATTTTTGTCTTGAGATACGAGGAAAAAATTGCGATGCGAGTGCACTTAAACACTCGTCAAATGGAGCAACTTTTCATGAAAGTTGAAAACATTGTCATGATCTAACCTGCATTTCTGCACTCAAAATACCCCCCCAAGAAGACTTTGCTCATTCTTGTCCTAACTGGATCAATTGACTCCACAAATATTACATCCGGCACGTTAATCCTACCAAGCACCGTCACGTCTGCTGGCTCTCCCCTCCTCCCTCCCCACCGTTGTCATCCACATTTCGAGCCATGACACATTGAGGCCGGCGTTATTGGCCATCCGACAGTCACCCCTCGGCAGATGAAAGCGTCCCGCTCGGTGTCAGACACACACACGAGGACACGAGGCGACAAAAAAAAGGGAAAAAAATCCATGCAGGCGATGCCGAATAATTGCAAGTGCGTCACAAGGGTGCCAGGGATCAATGGCAGCCGCGATGATGCGATTTGTCCGCGCCGACTGAGCGTTTCCATAATGACGCCGGAGAGGGAGACGGCACGCTTTTCACCGACTGGACGCGTTTTCATTTATTTCTTTCACTCACACGCTGACCCACAAACGCTTGTGTAACACGTCACATTGCGCACGACGCCGAACACGAAACATTCGGACCTCAAATCAACATTTGCCCCCACAAAGCGATACAATTGTCACTTGTTTTACCAAAAGACAGACAAAAAAAAATATTTTTATGTACTTTATGTACGTCATCTTTTCCTGAAACCTTCAATAAATAAATGCTGGCTTTGCGTTTAGAAATGTAAGCGATGATGAGGGTTGCGACTTTTTTTGTTTTTTGATTTGATGACACAATTGTACACAAAAGCGGCAAATGCCTTTATAAAATAAGCATTACGCAACACAACAACAACAACAACACCCGTCAGCGTGCACGCAATTAGCGTCAAGTAGTTTGAGTGGAAAAAGGTGAATGAATTGCGTCAGTGTGCTGATGTTTTGCACGCATTGCTCGGCATCCGAGAGAGCAAGAGCATGAGATCCAGAGCGTGAGAGAGCGAAACGCATCTCAAGGCGCGTGGGAGTGGGGGGGATGTGCCGGTGTTGCGCGCTCCGTGCGTGCCGCTACTTTCTGTGACAAAATTACTTTTTTTCTTCTACTTTTTTCTAACCCTCCCCCTAAAAAAAAAAAAAAAAAAAAAAACAATTTTTGTGTAAAAAAAAAAAAAAACTTTCTGGAAATAATTCAAAGCAAAATCTCATCAAAATTTGACTATCCATACACTTCAATCAAAGAAATGTGGCAGTTGAAAGCATAAATTACTTTCGCCACACGCCGCACCCCCTCAAAAAGTTTTTTTTTCCTGATCAAAAATTATTACTTGATAAAGTAGTACTTTTGTAGGGGGAAAAATTTAACAAAAAAGGTTTTGGTCGGCTTTTTTTGTGACACAACCATATTTGTTGGGTTGGGGGAAAACCTGAAAAATATTTATCCACCCCAAAAATAGTTTCGACTCTGAAGATTTTTTTGCCTTAAAATATTTGACAAAAAAATCTAATTTTATTTTTATCGTATTTATTTCGTCACTATTTTAATTTCTACGGACAAACGTAATAAAATGAAACTTTTTTTCTCCCCGTTTTTTTTCTCAATTTTTCCGCTTCAAACTAATTCAGACAAATGTCAAGATAGGAATATTACAGATGACAAAAAAATGGTGGAAAAAATGGAAAAAATTTGAATCAAAGATACACATATTTTCATAACAGATTTATGTATAATATTCTTAATATTATTCTCAGTTAAAAAGGTAGTAAACAGAGTGAGGATGCTGCCACGCTTTGCTGATGTTTGGCACGCATCGCTCAGCGTGCTGGGGGTGGGGGAGGGGGGATTGAGAGAGAAAAGAGAGAGAGAGAGAGAGAGAGAGAGCGCTATAAAGGCACGTGGGAGGAGGTGATGTGTTACTCGCGGGGTGTCTCCGTGCGCGCCTCACCTGGGGGAGCGTGCGTGTGCGTACGCGTGTGTGGGGGACGGTGAGTGAGAGGAAGGCTGCCAAGGGCTCGGGCGAGCGTTCCTCGGGGATGCTGAGCATATCTGCCGAGGCGTCACAACGGCTTAGAGCAAACATCCCCTTTTTGCTTCTTTTTGGGAGCAGCGGAAGAGAGGGAGATCCCACCTCAAAAAAAAAAAAAAAACACGTGAGCGCTTCGGCTAAGGAGGAGGTGGGAGAAGCCAGTGTGCTTTGGATGAATGACTTTGAGTGAACAAGACTGGTGTAACTTTATGTAGGTCACACGTGAGCGCCTCCCTCTGCCTATCAAGTGTCTCGGCAAGAACAACAAGCGAAAGCAGCGGCGGCGGCGGACGAAGAAGAACCAGAAGAAGAAGAATCGGCAGGAGTCGGAGGCGGCTCGGCAGAGGTGCGGCGATGCTCGGCGGGACGTGATGCCCGGAACGCTGGCGCTCCTCCACAATCGCTCGGAGGAGGCGCAAGCCCTGTCCGGTAGCGCCGGAGGAGGCGGCGGCGGCGAGGTGGGCAGCCGGCCCGCCTGGGTCATCGGCATCCTGGCCAGCGTGCTCATCTTCACCACCGTGGTGGACGTGCTTGGCAACCTGCTGGTCATCGTCAGCGTCTTCCGCAATCGCAAGCTGAGGAACTCGGGTAAGAAACGTCCAATTTCAATCTCCTTTGGCGCTTATCAAACTTTTTACACACACCCCCCAAAAAATGCTGACCTCAGCAGCCTGGGTTATGCTGACCCAAGGTTGGGTCAATTGTTTTTGACGCAGCTGATTGGGTTGAAAGTTGGATTTGGGCAGGCTGAAGCTGGTCACCATTTTGGACAGTGTTGTTGTTGTACTGAAACGTGGAAGTTTGGCTAAAACAACCCAGAAAGTTGGGTCCAATTGACCCAAGTGGTAGATCAGTCCATTTTGATCCAGATTGGGATATTTTTGACCCAACTGTTTTCAAAGTGTGGCTTTGGACCCAACATGCAGGGTCAAATCCTGGACCCAATGCAAAGTCGTAGATAAGCCAGCATTGACTACGTCCCTTTTGGACCCAGCGCTGGGTTCATCACGATCAAAATCCTGAGCCAACATTCTGGGTCAAATCCTCAACCCAATGCAATGTTTTTTTTTTTGACCTAGTGTTGTGTGTTAAACCCAACAGTTTTAAGAGTCTCAAATATATTGAACTTGTGAAGGTTAAATACAACTGAATTGTACCAGGGCGGTGATAATTTTATGTACCACAAGAGGGAGCCAGCATAAGATCGCCACTTGGAGAATAAATCGTTTTAATTGCGGGTTGGTCCAATGTTGAAGTGTGCCACTACAATTATGGAAGGGGATTTATTGTGACTCCACCCCCAAATCCTTTCGAAACTATTTCGTAAAACAACCACCCAGTCCTTTTTAGGGGGCATAAAAGGGTTTTCCTCTGCAAAAATCTAATTTTGATGAAAAAAAATCTCATTTTTCAAATGTTTTTTGAGCCAAGAAATTCATTCTTTTCACACAGAGAAGGTCATATTTTGAGGGAAGGAATTCAAGTCGTGCTTTTTGAGGGGAAAAAAAATGTTCAAAAAATAGTTGTTGCGACTCAAAAAAAAAATTTTGTGTGTGCATCTGAACCAGATGGAAATTGGTGGCAGCCAATTCTCTGAGAACCTTTTGGTTGCCATGTTCCACAATGCACTCCTCCTCGACATCTATTTCTGCCCGGAAAGTGTGCGCTGCATTATTACTTACGAGAAAGCTCTTGTAAATATGCAACGACACGTGTGAGGGGAGTCGGGGGGAGGGAACGGGGGTGGGGCGGGGTTGTACATGTCGAGCCTGTCAGCCTGTAATCAAGGCAAACAAACGCACATATATGCACGGTTTGCACCTGATATCGCAGAGGACTGTCGGTGGGCTAGTGAGGCATTGAGCATACATGATGATTCTGTATGTATATATGTATATATATATATATATATATAAGGGCTGTCAAAGTTCAGGTGTAAACATTTTAAATGTAAATTCGTGTGACTTTGATTGAAAAAGTTTTTCAATCAGAGACTGTATTCTTCTACTTCCAAAGTGCACCGTGTCGCTTTTTCTCTTCACGTGCTAAAAGGCATTTTCTTTTTTTCTTTTTGTCGCGCTCACCATCACCTTGACCCGAGGTGATTGAACGCACGCACGGAATTGGCGGAGTATCGGTTATTTTTTTTTTTTCAAAAGAAGAAGAAGAAAAGGAAAAAAAGTCTTGAGCATGTCTTTATAATGGAAGGAAGAAAACGTGTTTGCCTTCACGGCGCCGTCTTTCAGCTTGAATGGAGACGTTTAAAAAGCTCAGTCGAGGCAGCGCTCAGGTTTTGCTGGCTCGGTGTTGCTGTTTTATGATCGCGAGTGCCTCCTCAACTGCTTCACTTAAGAGCTCCGTGGATTTTGCCAGCTCACCTTTAATTGTACACGCGACTTCACATCTGTGTTGCCTGCTTTCAGTCCGCCAACGAATATTTTAGTTGTACACGTAGCATTTCGGAGCCCACACCAACGTCTGCCACCTGTAAACTGCTCTTAACCATTGCACTCCATTCCACAACCCACCTTATTTTATTTTATTTTTTTTGTTTTTGGGTTGAAGAGGCATTACAGTAGGCGGCGCAGCGCTTTTAGTCAAACGCGCTCGCAGTTAGGTGGCAGCCCACTCGTCCGCGAGGGTGAAGCCCTCCGCCCTCGGTGCGCTTCAGGTGGGAAAACACCCGATTGAAGGCCACTCGCTGCTGACGTGAGCAATCCTCATGTGATGATGACTAACGACGAGCTTCGCTCTCACCTACATGCCGTTAGCATAATAATAGCGCCACCGAGGAAGTTAAGTAATGCACGGCAGCCCACTTGGACCGCAGGCCCTATTGTTAAAAAGTCCATTCATTTGGAACGATAGCTAGCTTGAACTGTTGTTCCATTTCGGAGAAGGCGTCCGATTTTTTTTTCTCTCTCTCAAAAGGTCAAACTGCCAAGCAGACAGTTTACTCCTTTGGACTAAAAGATGACTGAAGGGATGAAGCAACACATGAAAATGATGTCGTACGATGTCAAAAGATAGACTTGTTTCGCAACTCTTGACTTTCGAAGATTAGACCCCAAAATTCGTCTGCGACTGCAAATTGACGTTATTCTCGTTGGCGTCGACGCACGCCTCGCTCTTGATTGTGAACGGGGATGCAGTAAGGAGAGCGACAAAAAGACGATGGCAAAGTCTTTGACGTCAAAGGTGAAAATCTGCATCGCAAGTCATGGAATTGTGCGTCCTGACAAGAAATCGTCCGATTTTCAACAGCCGGCGCCATAATACGCTTTTGTGGGCCTCGCGGCTTGGGCGCACCAAAGTGTGTGCATGTGCGAACACCCCCGCGTAGGTCAGAAGTTTTTTTTGGGGTGGGCGAGGGGAGGGGGATGGGGGGGCGCCGCCTTTGAAGAGGATTAGTGTCAAAGCAATCAAACGTTAGTCGCTTCAAAGAGACTATTTATTTCACATCTACAAGCCACCTCCCCTCCTCTTTTGCTGCCCACCACCGCTACCCCCTCCCCAAGGCCCTCATCCATCTGAACATAATGCTTGAAAGAAAAAAAAAAACCATCTTGAAACGAAAAGCGCCAAAATAAATGCATTGTGATGATCGATTGTTGCCAGCCATCTGCTGCAAAACGTGACACTAATCATCCACGCTTTTGGAAACCTGCGACATACAAACAAAGTGTGCCTCTTAAAGCTGGGCGGCACCGCCAAAATCTATCGCGAAGAGACGATTGATAAGATTTTATTGTGTAACTTTTCAACTTGCGTGGCTATCGTCATTGATCATCCGCGGCGAACCGCGTGTAACGTTATACATCAAATGCGGCTCGATTTGAGCTTTCGCCGATCAATCTCATGCCGCACTGCTGCCACCAGGTGGCAGACGGAAGAACTACACTAGGATGTGAATCATCATCAGTACATAACAAACTTCAATCTGAGAGGCTTTGGGTGAATGCTAATAATGAATACATCTGGAATTATTAATCATTTACAAAAAAAAAAAAATTAAACTACACAAGCCAAGCATCTTTTATTTTGAGCATCAACAAAAAACACCCCCAAAAAATATAGCAAAACTGAAAAATTGCAGATTTTAATTTTTTTTCCCCCAAAATTGAACAGCAGAGACCATCCCAAAAAGATCCAATCCCAAGATAGCATCTATACCGTGATTCTAATGTATAGAAATACTGTCCACCAATAGTGATGATACGCTCATAACATCCGATTGAGGAATATTTGAAATCCTGGATTCCACCAAAACAACGTGACAGCAATTGGCTTCTTCTTGTTGCTCTTTTGTCTCCGTTTCTCACGACACCGGTGATTAGCTTTGCATTTATCTTTTGTCACTTATCATTAGTCTCCAGATTGTTCCCCGCTTGGCTGTCGCATCCAAATTGCTCAGGCTCAGTCGAGAACTTGTCAATAACCTGTTCAAAACCGCTGGGCTGACGCCAACAAAGTGGCGACTGGTCTTCCTTTGATCTTTTTTTTTTTTTTTTTTCTCTGATCTCGAGGTTGCCGTCCAGCCCGAAAATTCCTGAGCATTTAAAGAGGATCAGCGGAGAAGTACGAATGATAAGCAGGACGCGAAATCCCGCGTGGTCTCTTCACAAAGCGCTTCCACCCCCAAATTTCCCGCCAGACCGTTTTGGTGCCGCCGAGTCACTCTGCTTGACGCCGCGTTTCCAAATGGCTGCGTGCGGCACTGATGTCTGACGCACCGCGGGAAGCGTTCGCCCGAGTCAATGCAATGACGTATTCCGTCGATTCACATGAATAAAAAAAAAAAAAAAAAAAAAATTTATGAGAGCGAAAGAAAGAGACTTACATTTGTAATGAAACGCAACTTCTCGGTTCATTTGACACCGGAGCCGCTTTATCAACTGTGTCTCTCCGCTCCAGTGAGTACACGGCGATGGGGGGCACTGG